GTCAGACTCAATACCTAGATTATACTACAAATATACGGAGGTGTTTAGAAAGTGAAAGAATACTATGGAATCCGGGAGAACCATCCGGAGTATGTAATATTCATGACATTACCCCCCTTTTAGAATCGTGTCCTCACGATTATTTACCGGTAGAGCCAAAGCCTCCCATTCCACGTTGAGTTTCCGACAAGTTTGAAACCTCCTTGATACCGCATGACGCAATACGCTCCAGGATTACTTGAGCGATTCGATCACCGGTGTGTACTTGGAATGATTGATTGGTGGTGTTAATCATTACCACGCGTACTTCTCCGGTATAATCACGGTCGACAACTCCAGCGCCAATATCAATTCCTTTTACCGCTAATCCACTTCGCGGTGCAATCCGCGCGTAAGTCCCGTGAGGGGCACGCATTGCGATGCCGGTTCCGACAATCTTGTGACTTTGCGCCGGTATCTTAATACTTTCAGCTGAATAAAGGTCGAGTCCAGCGGCTTCTTCTGACCCTTGTTTCGGGAGTAATCCCCCCATCTGTTGTACCAACAGAGTGGTATCACGTGTGAGCATGTGAACGGGTCGTGTGAGTAGAGGGGGAATGTGAATGATCATGGGCGCGGGTTTATCCAGACGTCTAGCATGGAATTCTTGGAGGATTTCCTGACAATTGGTCAGGTTCAATTGAGATTCCCAGGAACGGCGGTCACCGTGTGGACTGTTCTTCCATAACACCTGATATTCTAGATTTCCATTTCGATCGCGACGCGAATCGAGGATGTCTTCTACTTCCCATTCTTCATCACCTTCTACAAGGTCGGGGACTTCAGGCATGCGTTGTTGCGAAGGGTAAACAGGTTCTTTGAAAGGACTGAGTAGACTTTCATTGAAAACTGGGTGTTGCTTCCATTGTCGAGGGAGTTCTAACTCATAGGCAAATGCGCCGACTTTGCACTTGACCTTGAAAGGTCCATATCACTTATCGTCGAGTTTCTTCATCGGTCTATCGGTCCGGATCTTAATCCCTTCTAGCCAAACTTTGTCTCCGGCTTTGTACTCCAGTCCGTCCTTCCTTTTTCGGTCATAGAAACGTTTCATGGATTCTTGTGCTAGGCTGATGGCCGCACTAGTATCTTCGCGTACTCGACTCATCCGATCAACAAACTGTTGAACATTCTCACTTAGTCCTTCTCGTACCGGTTGAGTTCCTTCGTAAGGGTGATATCCTTTGTTTACGAAGAACGGAGTGTACCTGGTGGAAGAATGAACTTTGTTATTGTAGGAGAAGGTTGCAAGTAGCAGCCATTCGGCCCAATCGGCTTGTCGGTAGTTAATGAACAATCGGAGATACTGTTCTATCTCGCGATTGATGCGTTCCGTCTGTCCGTCTGTTTGCGGGTGATATGCGGTTGAGGGGTTTGCTTCGATCCCGAGTGATCGGTATAGTTCAGAGATGAACTGATTCTTGAATTCAGTTCCTCTATCGCTGATAATCTTTCGGGGTAGTCTATGATGTGCGACTACATAATCTCGAAGCGCTTTCCCCCATCCCTCGGCATTGAGTTCGATGTTACTAGGTATCGCAATTATCTGCTTTGAGTACATACAGACAACTACGAGAATGGCTGTGTATTTGAAGGATTCAGGTAATACGCCTATTTTGTCCACGGAGATCACCTCCCAGGGTTGTGTGGGTATTTTGTTTGGAAATAGGAGTCCGGTCAGTCATGTGGTGTGAACCTTGGTCTTTTGACATTTTTCACATCCAGCTACATATTTCCGGATGTCTTCCTGAATTCTAGGCCACCAGTAGTCACGCGTGACCATTTCGTGCGTTTTGTATTGGCCAGGATGTCTGGCCAATGGGGTATCGTGATGGTGAACGATGATCTGCTCGCGAAGTTTCCTATTTACTGGTACGTAGATGCGATTCTTTCATGTCACAAGTCCAGTACTATCTTCGTTCCAGTCCTTGTCTTGTTCTGTAAGGCTACGGTAACTATTGAATCTTGATTCTTTTTGTATTTTTTAATTTTTGTGACCCAGTTCTGGTTGATTCCTTCTAAACTAAATACAGTGTTACGAATCAGAGCGCGAAAGTGTTATGGCTTTAGCAATACAATGTCCAAATTGTCCTCCGTCCCTGCATTGTGTCTTTTCTGTCGAGACAACCCGTCAGCCTTGCCATTAGATTTCCTGGGTTTGTGATGCAACGAGTATTGGTATTCGGCTAATTCGGTTACCTATTGAGCCTGGCACCGATTGAGCTTCTGAGGCTTTCGAAAGTATTCTAGATTCTTGTGGTCCGTCCATATTTCAAACGGATGTAAGGCGCCCATAAGGTATTGACGCCACTCATCAAGACTAGTCATGATTGCGAGAAGTTCCTTATCATAAATCTCGTAATTTCTTTCGGCAGCTGTCATGGCTTTGGATAGATAGGCGACAGGCTTCCATTTGCCGTCTTGCTTCTGGGCTAGTTTCAATCCAATGGCGAAGTCTGAGGCGTTACATTCTACTTGGTACGGGTCGTTATCGTTTGGTATGGCCAGTACTAGAGCTGAACAAAGAGCGTTTTTCAGTCCGGTAAACGCAACTTCTTGCTCAATTGTCCATTCAAAGGTAGCATTAACCGTTAATGAACTGAGTGGTTTGGCTATTTTGCCGTACCCTTTGATAAACCTTTGGTAGAAGTTGGTAAAGCCGAGGAACGCCTGAATGTCTCGTTTACACTCAGGCCGAGGCCAATTGATGACTCCTTCTATCTTGACTAGGTTCATGCGTACAACACCATTTCCCACTATCATGCCGAGATATTCAACTTCCATCTTCTCGAACTCGCACTTTTCCGGTTTTAGATAGAGTTTGTGTTCTTGCAGGATCTGTAATACTTGCCGCGTGATCCGACAGTGTTCTTTTAGATCTTGGGTGAAGATCATGATGTCGTCTAGATAGACTACTACGTGTCCTTGACTGATGAGATCTCAAAATATGTCATTCATCATAGTCTGAAATGTGGCTGGAGAGTTCGTGAGACTGAAAAACATGACTAGCGGCTCGAATAATCCTCGATTGGCAAGAAAGGCAGCTTTCTCTTCATTGCCTTCTTTGATTCGGATGTTATTGTATCCCCATCGAACATCTAACTTCGTGAAGTATCGTGCTTGCTTTAGTTTGTCGATTAGTTCTTGTATCAAGAGAAGTGGATATCAGTTTTTGATCGTTAGATCATTCAATTTCCAATAATCTTGTACGAGCCGAAGACGTTCGTCTTTCTTCTTGATGAAGAAGAAAGGAGAGGCCCAAGGGGACTTAGAGGGCCAAATCCTTCCTGTTTGAAGGTTCTCTTCTATGAATTCGTCAAGTTCCTTTTGTTTGTTGACCGATATAGGATAAACTTTGCAGCTGATTGGTTGCAAGCCTGGTGTCAACTCGATGGCATGATCCCACGGTCTCCTTTGTGGTAGAGAGTCAAAATCTTCTTTGCTAAAAACATCTGAGTAGTCGTGATAGTGACTTGGGACTGTATTCTCAAATGTTTTTGCTTCATGTTTCAGACTTTCTTTTATTGCTAGGTCTGTAGCCGTAGTGTGTATATGCGCTGCTTCCATAGTGAAGTATGTCTCGTAGTCTAAAACAAAGATTCTATCTCCCTCTTCAAGGCAAGCCTCTGGATCACTGGGTTCTTCTTGATCAGCATCAATACCAACTAATTGGGCCCCGTATTTGCAGGTGATTGGGCACCGATCAAACTGAATGACTTGTTCCTGCCAATCGATAGACGGATTATGAATCTGAAGCTACTCATATCCTAGGAAGATTGGAGTTTTCCCTAGATTGGTAACGGCGAAAGGGAGCTGTTCAACATGGTTCTGAATTTCAACTTTCAACTTGACAAAGTTGGTGATAGCACCGCCAGCATTATGCGTGCCATCTGCGTTGTAGACAGGGATCGGTGATGGCAGTTTCTTTGTAGCGATATTGTTATCGCGGACAAACTGCCCATCAATAGATGATCTGGTACATCCCGTGTCTAATAGTGCTTTGACTGATGAGCGCTGTTGTGTGTCCAGGGTGGTGATGATCATGGGGACGTCCATCTGTGTCCTCTTCCTTCCTTGGATGAATCGAGGCTTCTTTCGTAATTCATTCAAGAAGTCTATTGCTTCTTCTTCATTCATTTGCCTGATTTGACTCATACAGGCTTCTGAGGCATCAACACTCTTCTTTGAATGTACCCATTCAGTCAGCAATCTAAGCGCTGTTTTGTCTTTGCTGACTATCCATTGGCAGATCCATGCCGCTGTCCATGGGGTGTGGTGCTGCCACTGCGTAGATTCAGTCTGATTTGAGGTAGGAGGTAATTTTTTATTCGGAGGAATTAAGTAAGAGGGTTGAGCCTCTCCGCGCCGCTCTGCGGACGCCCCTTTCTTTTGTATATACATGGGAACTCCAAACCAGGAACACAGATAGTTCGTGAAATTCTTTTCGGTCAACTCGGCTACGCGCCCGGCTGACTGCTTGCAAAACCCTTCATGGCCGCGTGAATTTCTTCACGAATTGCCGTCTTCTAATCAAATGGTTCTGCTGTTGCAGCAGGGGCTTCGTTGAGTGATGCGAGTGGCGTGAATGTATTGGTGGTAGGAACTACCGGGGTTTTCGCGACCCGTACTTGTTGGGCTTGCTGTCGATTAGGGCAATTTTGTGATATGTGACCCTGTTGACCACATCAGAAGCAAAGACCTTGGCGTCGTACCTGGTCTAATTCCATCAGCTGTCCCCTTCCTCCAAATGTGACACCTGTCCCATCGCGGCGTGTCTGAATCGGGGCGTTTGCAGTTGGCGCAGCTACGTTAGCCTGTGCTCGTGGTGCACTTTGTGTCTGCTGTTGCTGAGGTTGAAATTGTCCTTGCTGCTGGGATTGCAGATTCCGTCTATGGTACTGCTGTTGATTTAGGTCAATGCGGGCGACCCTTTGTTTGTACAGCGCGTATGTAGTCAGAATTTCCTCTGACAAATTGTATAGGAGCTGAATGATGTCGGCCCGTAGTGCCCTCTCCAGAAGCAATTTGAGTTCCTGGAAATGCTTCTCAAAGTCATGAATATTCGCCTGAAAGGCGCACAACTCGAACTTCGAGAAGAATTCTTGCGCTGATAGCATGCCCATCTGCATTGCTTGCAGCCGATCGTAGGCTTCTGACGCCTCATCGATTAGGAAGTGTCTATCTAGATCTTCCCATAGCGCCTTGGTTGTCTGGATCACCGTATTTTCATGTACGTGGCGATGTATTTGCCAGCGTGTCCTCCTTTCATGTAGAACAGGATCATTAAAACCCTGTCGAATTGCTCAGGTAGTCGCTTCCTCTGCGTAACTACGTAGAGTTTCATCTGCGTCTTCCAAGGAAGGTACTTGGATTTCGTGCCGTCAAAGGTGTCTGGTTTCATTGCGCTTCCATTAATGAAGGCAGCATTGTCTTGGACTTCGGCCATTGCGCCGAGATTGGATGGAGATGAGGGTGGAGTGGGAGAACGTTGAGAAGGCGGGTTTGAGGCTTCTGAATCTTCTACGGCTTTTTTCACGGGGTTTGGTGGGCCCTCTGGTGGTACTTCAGATTCTCCAAGGGCGATCGAGCGGAGATGGTCAGTGACCGATTTGAGAGTGTCTCGTCTAGTTCTGGGTTCTGAACTAAATGCTACGGGTTGCGGGACTGCGAGGGATTCTGAAGGTTCTCCGGTGGGAACTCTTTGTAGCGGTTCTCCATGTAATCCTTCTCTGCACTGAGGACAACGACTGCTATTGTCCGGGGAATGTGGGCACGGTTGTTGCGCACAGTACCGTACGTTATCGCTGCATATGTAGATGGATCTCCCTTCTAGTTCTCGATGTGTATGTCCTCTACAATCACAAGAGGACGTGGTCATAGGTTATTGGATCCGTGAAGCTGGTTGCAGCAAACCCTGGGACTAATCGTGTTGTAATGACCAGATCAGGGGTAGAGTTCGCCAGAGATGGGAATTTCCGACAAAGAACCGAAAACGCTAATTATGATACAGATCTAGAGATACTGTAGCAGCCCAAAGAGCGATTATGTCTCTCTGGTCCGACGCCCAGAACGGAATTGTTGATCTAACTGCTACCGCCTTTCCGACGCCCGGTCGCAACCGGTTGCCACGTCATACTTGGGAATATCTGCTTGCACTGCGCAAAGCATGTAACTCTGCCTATGGTAGGGCAAAGTACAATTCTAATTGGACGGAGCTCTGTCTAGCCGCCTAAGGGCTAGTGATTACAGAGGTGACTTCGGGGATGTGACATGGTAAAATTTGTGCAAGTGCACAGAAAAGGGTTCCAGGGGTCTGGTCCTTTCGGTAGGGTTAGGATTTAGGGTGAGAGTTGGATGTGTGTATTAGGTGGATCGTTGTGTGGAGATGGGTGATGGTTGGTGTGGGAGTGACGAGGATCATCATAGGGCAGTTGGTGGAGACTCAAGCTAATGTCAGCAACCTACAATCCAACTGGACTGGGCTACGACAAGACTGAGGAGACAGACGAGAGGAAAGTGGGTGAGTAAAGACCAGCTCAAGTCTGGCTTGTTATTGAGCAGTACAGGCCCCTTATATACATGTCAGACTCAATACCTAGATTATACTACAAATATACGGAGGTGTTTAGAAAGTGAAAGAATACTATGGAATCCGGGAGAACCATCTGGAGTATGTAATATTCATGACAGGTGCCTTGAGGAATACGCTTCTCTGACCTCATCTCTGGAAGCATGTACGACATAGCCCAATCGATGTACAAGGTAGCCATGATGGTAATGGGCTCTGGAGGACGGCAATGAAGGGCTCGAAATGACGGACTTGGTAGTCATATGCCAAATGTCCTCTCTTTCAACAATGCCATGAGAAACAGCTAAAAAAAGAAACCCATTGTCTAGCAGTGTGACTGATGGCTAGAATTGACCCCGAGTCCTCCCTTGTACTGTGGTGTCGATGAACTGCTGAATCAAGTGTCACAGGGTGATGAGCACAGTTTTTTGATGGAGAAAATCCGGACAAAAGCGGTTACATAAGGCACAGCTTTTCTTTTGTCGTAGACTGAAGAAAATTGAGGTGAAAATAGGTGCAAAACTGGCCAGAAGCAGTCTAAAGTACAGTAAAACTGATACGAAACTGAGTTTTGTCCTCGGTTTTTCTCGGTGCAAACTGGAGAAACGCAGGTCCATGTTCAATCAGGTTTTGACCGATACTGCAGGAGAAAAAACCGCGCTTATCACCCAGTACATGGCGATAGAAGACAATACATGCCATATCCGTTCGATAAAGACAATAATTCCATAGAACAATGGCACGTCGCACGGTACTGTCTTTCTTTAAGCATGCAATAGCGCCGCAATCAGTGTGCTTACATAAGCAATAGCCTTACGCGGGTGCCCAGCTACTGCTTGTCCAACTCACGGCCAACTCCAGAAGCTGACCATCTCTATTTGCTTCGCGGAGCGATGACTTCATTTGGCTGCAGCGCTGATGTGCTCAGGGCATACCCGAAGAAGAATCCGTTCGACCTGAAAGTACTAGCCCGCGAACTCTCGCCTCAGCCGCGACACTCCAGAGATTCTCCAGGAAGCCCTCTCTATAGCCACTGCTACCAGAGGATATAACGTATTCTCGGTCATGTACGGTAGCAATCCGTTGCCTGTGGACGCCGAGGCCGCTAAGAGCGCATGCAAGTCGATTCAGCTGTATGAAAGCCCGCCGGAGGTGCCGACGGTAGATCTCCCGGAGTCTTTTGAGCTAGAAGATGCGAAGACCCTTGACGGTGTGCCCGCATTTATTATATCTGCAGACTGCTGGGATGCACCTCGCCTGCTAAAAGTGGTGAGCCACGTCGGCCCTGAACGCAACATCATGAACTCAATCACATCGTGTAGTATCCTTTCGCCCAGGACCACGCGATCAACGAGGCAGACGTGTCTTTTCGCGGTGTATACGACGCTGAGGTCAACGCATATGCCTACCTCCTGCGTCATGGCGGCTGCGCTAAAGAGGTCGTGCCGATGTGCTTCGGTCGCGTCGCTCTGACCACGCCTCAGGTGGAACAGATACTCACCAGAACTTCACTGTCAGATGCAGCACGTACAACATTACGCCAGGTCAGCACTTTAGGCGCGCTCCTCCTGGAACACATTACAGACGGGCAGTTCTTCACGATGGAGAACATCACGAACGACCTAGCGAGCAGAGCGCTGCAAGCACTCTACGAGGTACACGTGTCCCTCGTCTGCCATGGCGCGCTCAGCTGCAGAAATGTCCTCTTTCTCGAGCGTAAGCTCCCGCCACTTCCCGACGATCCGCATTACGTTCTTGACGAGGCCACGAGCTGGACCGAAATCGAAATCGAGAGAGAAAAGCGCAGAATACGCGTCGTCTGGTTCAACTTCGGTAATGCCGTCTGGCCGGGGGCGTCGTCCGGGTTCAGCGCACTCGACCTCTTTCAGGAGCTTCGATGCGGATGGGAGTTGTTCTACCGGCAACTGGTATGCACTATACACGACTCACTGGTGTACCTAATCGGGACTAATCACGCTGTCTTACAGCTTCCCGCGAAAAGAATCGGTTATGCACAGGCTTTCGAGTCCTAGCCACCGCTGCTGTATCGTGCCATACCTGTGGTCATGTGATTCATCTCACTCCGTAGCAATTTTCGGATGGCTGTCGCCTTACAATGAATGAAGATGCACATGGATGCATGATGGTCCGCGGAGTGCGTACTAAGATGAGCCTTACATGAAGTCTATCATAGGTAGTTGTACCCGATACGCTTATCTGGCAGCTGTCGTCGCCATTAGATCCAGTCCAGAATACGGTTCATGCCACTTACCAGCTCCTCATACATGTATGACCACGCGTCCCTGAGCTCCCTCAAGAAGTCCTGGCGCATCAAGTGGCCACTGCTCACACAAGACGAGCAGTCGAAGTCGATCCAAATGACACGTTTATCTGGCAGTAGAAGGATGTTGCGCCGATGGACGTCGCCATGGATGACGTTCGCTGCATTAATCGCATGCAAGGCCCGCAGCGCAACCTGCGCTATTTCCGACGTGATATTGCGATAGGAGAGACGTTCTGCGTTTGCGAAGTACTCGATAAGGATGTCTTTTGGCGGGCGCTCTTCGCTAGATAGGGCACGGACCACGTCCGAGACTAATGGGAGCGCTACGAGCTTGCCCACATCACGAGACGAAAGGGTAGCCCACCCATAGCAGTGCGGGACGGTGCCTCGCTTGCACACGCCAAAGTGGAGCAGATGGGCATACGCGTTACACTCGCGCTGAAAGAGGACCCTCAGATCCGGCTTGCGTGTGTAGCGTCCCCACGTATCCTCTTCGCCGTCGTCGTTTTCATCATCCTGTAGCGCGTCCCGGTCAGGGAACTTATGATACTTGAATTAACCTTTGTATCTACGGACAGGTTAAGTTCTGAGACTTACGACTTTCAGTAGCATTTTCTGGCCTCCATGCTCGACTAAGAACAGGAGAGGATTTCCTGTTGCATTTAGCTGTTCGCAAACATGGAGTTTTTCCGACATCGTCACTTCGGGAAGCGGTTGCGGCGCGGAGTACTTGTGCCACGGAAACCATGTTATGAGCAAGCTTGGGTCGGCGATATTGAGTGGGTTGGTGCCGTACATGCTGCAAAACAAGTTCGATTTAGTTCTCTCCGCAATCGAGCGAGCATGCGCGAGTAATTCCGGTGTGTCATGCTCCGCCGTGTCCAAGGGCTCAGGGACGAGATTGTATAGAGGCGGTTCCATATCGAAAGGGTTGCGTAAGTATTGTAAACTTGCATACTAGGTGAGCACAATTCGCACGAGACTTTTTTGTTGCGGAGTCGGCCACTGTATGGCAGAGGTCAAGCTTGTCTAGTCCAATGACGGCGCCTATCTTCGCGACTATAAATGCAAGAAGCGCTCGGGCAACTGAATTCATCCGTCTCCGTTCTCTGCTTGTCGCATCGGACAATTAACTACTTGAATTGATATTGTAGAAAGGTCAACGAATTACTATAATATCGGTGTGGCGCCGAAACTTCTCAGAAAGGCACTTCATCCGTCCTCCGCTCTCTCGTGTCGTGGTTGAATTGCAGACAGCTGCGCCATGGGATTCCGGAGGTCGACAACTGGCGATAGCAGAACTTAAGTATGTCCAATACAAAGTATCGGAACAAGACGTTCTAGGGGACATCAGAAACCTGACTCACTTCCTCTTACAGAGGCCGAGCCGGCCCTTAAATGACTTATTCCCAGCTGGCTCGCGTTTCTTGACATCAGCATTGTTCATTGTTCTTGAAATAAACAATTTTATAGGATGTAATAAGCACGAGCCAAGTGAGTTCCCGAGTCTTGAGCCTCTTCCGTTCGGTAATTCCTCCTGCTCTTAGCGTCACCCTCAGCCATGTCCGGCTCATCAAATGCAATGCCTCCTGAACCGCCTCTCACGATATTTCGGTGGGCCCAGACTTGGAACGCCCCCAACTATAATCCTGAAAGACGCGCTCCGCAACCTCCTGCGGAGAGAGTGGTAAGTCGATCAGGCTTGTTTGGTTTAGTACTGGAAGCTCGTTAACAGCCAAGATTTGTGCTATAGGAGGTCGGCAAGAATACTACCAATAAAAGTTTTAAGATGGAGGACATTGCCAGGGGCATTCTCGAGTGGGACATAAACATCGACACTATCCGCGAGCTCGCCAGCATCTTGGACGCTCCGTACGACTGGAACGCGTACGGGAAGGAGTTCAGGCCCATGCGGGAGTTTTTTCCCGACATATTTCCGTCGCGCTTCAACAGAGAGGTGGTCCTAGCCAACCGGCTTGTCACTACGCTCTTCAATGACCTCAGTCGGTGCCAGAACTACATCATCGCCCACCACGAGAGGGTCCCTACGTGGTACCCCTCGGACTTCATACCTACCTTTACGGAGGTTGGCGCGACGTGTCTCCAGACGGAGACCTGGTCAAGCCCTCACCCGCCGGTCCCAGATTGCGCAACGATTGGCACAGAGGACAGGCCGCTGCAGGTCACCAACAGGCCTGCTACTCGCCTTCCCGGTGACGTGAAGTGTTCGTACAAGTTTCAGGCATCCTGGAGGCAGTACACTGACCCGGTAAACCGGAGGGAAGGGGTGAATAAGTCGCGGTCTGAGGGTACCCAGGCGATGAAGGCGGAGTATGAGAAGGTGATGGCTCAGATCAATCACTACATGGAATTTCCAGGAGGCGTCGGATTCGAGAGAGCTGCGAAGTATGGTTACATCATTACCGACGAGGAGGTAGTATTGGTGAGGCGAGCTCCTGTCAATGTGCGCGATGTACCAGGAGGATCGTACACCCAACTGTACGCATCGCGCGGCTTTCCCTTGAGAAGGGCGGAGAAGGGCCCTGTGCCGCGCACTTACATCTCTGGCATGCTCGCTGTATTGTGGATTCACATACTGGTGGGCTGCACAGATCCCAAGAATTCCTATGTGATGCTGCGGCCATATTTCGTAGAATAATCAAGAAACAATTGCGGTAATGGTCGCCCTGTAATAATTCTGCACGTACAGTAGGCAATGTAGACAATTTATCTCAGCCATACTTACATAAACCGTCTTGAAATTCCGTGCTTGTAGGCGTGGCAAGTATGCCAACGACTGCTCGTGCGGGCTGACTCAGCGCTGAAAATCACATCTAGTTGAGAACAAGCATTGCGCCACTAGGCCCAGTCTGCCCCGCAGTAGCAGTCTCCTGCATTTGCAGTACATAATTAGGCGAGAGAGCAAACAGATAAATCCGCAAACTATCATTACCATATTTGAGCGGTGATATATGCACTTGCGCGCCGACATGTATCACACAAGTACCACCACTCCCAAGTAGCAGGTCAACAGCAATCATCAAATTGGCTACCGTTGCTACAACCAGCATGCATATATGCTTGTACACTCGGCTTCAATAAATTTCGTCGTGTATTCTAGTAGTTTTTTCGTCGTTGGCTGCGCCATGAGCAGGCTGATAAGGTCAAGAAGCGATGATGCTTCAGCCCCAGTGCACTTCGAAGTTTCTATACAAAGTTCTGAGTCCTGGTCCCAATCACAGCGACATAGTGCTGGAAGAGAGGCAAATGATTATTGTAGTACACATTGAGCAACAATGAGACATACTTTGCGTGGCAATCCATCGCCACCCGTTGGCTTCCTTACACGCGACCTCCTTAAGGTTTTCACACCCTCAACAACAGCCTTAGCATCACTATTCGAAGCCGATTCGCTAGAGGCTCTTCACCTCTCTTCCAAGTGGACGGAATACGCCTCTGCCTCACACGTACCAATGTTCAGCGTCTCGAGGGCATCGTTGAGTGCTTCGAAAGCCACTCGAACTGCGAGCTTCTGGTTCCGGCTCGTGTCTAGCAAGACGTACATCGGGCTTAGCGACCCGTCCGCGATGGGCAAGGTGTCGGAGAACACGTTGATCTACTTGAGCCGGTCCTAAGAGCAAGAGACGGGTCTCTTTGGATGCACGCAACGCGGCGATGTGGTATTCATACGCGACCTCGAAGCGTCTAGAATTCCACACGAGAGAGATAATACGAGCGCTGAAACAAAGATGCGCAGCCTCGCTAAAACGCTTTTTATTGCAGGTCGCCAGAGCATACCACTAACACGCACGAACTTGTTGACCCTGTTCGGTGTGCACAACTGGTCGCGGGCCTGCATCCTACGACGGGTCGTAGAAACCTGCCCAGCTGCTCCCTGCATTGGGCGAAGCGAGAGGGAAAGAAATCTGTAAAGTCGTGAGTACTACAGTTGAATCGATATATGCGCTTCGCACCGACTCAGGAAGTGACTATCCTCACTTCCTCAGCGATTGGTCGAGAGCGGTCAATAGATTGACTACCGTCGCCGCGCTTTCTTGCATGCGTTGATGCTTCACATATTCGGCTTCGATAGATTTTGTCGTGTCTTCCAGCAGCTTCTCCTCCGTTGGCAGGGCCGCGAGCGGGCTGGCAGGGTCAAGAAGCGGCAGTGCTCCAACGCCGGTCTGCTTCAGAAATTCGGCGAGCTCGTGTAGCATCTGCTTCAAGGATTCGGCCTCAGCTTTTGCGTAAAACGCAGTCAGAATTAGAAGCCGATCACCCACGCATGCCGTCTACGCACTTGCGGTCTGAATAGGATTCGTCCCCGGCTGATACGCGTGTTCACTGATGTGCATGCATGAGCCAATCTGGCATGCCGTTGTGCACGTTGTGATACCCACATGCCTGAGAGTACGCTCCGCGCTAAGCCCTGTATCCTCGCCAGGTGTTGTTGTACGACATGGATATTGTGCTTGAACTCGTCCTGGGGATTCCGCTCGCTTGCGGCTAGCGAACTATCCGAGAGGGATTGCGAAGAGAACTGCTGTGACCCAAAAGAGACGTCGCTGAAGCCTAGAGGCCCGTATAGTGATGTTTGGCTACTGGAAGATGGAAACATTGGTGGTCTGCGGTCAAAGCTGAGCGCTGAGCGCTGAGCGGCCGCAGGTTCGATTGACGCTCTCCCTATCCTACGCTTCATTAAATCTGGGATCTAATTATGTCACGTGGGGCCCGCGAGGCCACGGTAAGGTCGCTCGCTTCGTTGTTATCCTTCACCTTTTCTCTCCCCACTTCCGACCTTTCACGACCCTCAGAGACCGCAGAGCGCGATGTCGACGTCGGCTTGAGCTGCTGAGGTCCCTTCAGGCCTCCCCTCTCAAGCAACAAGTCCCGGCTTGTTGGTCCCACCCCGCAAATCTCGAGTCATGGATGATCTTCCAGAGAACCGACAGCAAGAAGAAATAACTGTGCTCAAAAGCATCTATGGAGAAGATTTCATTAATTGCCCCCCTCCAAAAGCCTGGAAGGTTGGTTCAGAAGCCAGAGCGTCACTCACGAAGTTGCAGAACTCACCGGTCGCGGTACGCTCTACAGGGAGCACCACGGCTACCAGAATTTATCATTCGGGTTCGACATCCGGACCCTGAACATGCCTCCAAGATCTTCTTTAATCTCCATGTCAAGTGCGTCTCGGCCTTTCATTTCACTCCAAGTGATCGCTGATCCAGTCTATCAGGTTTCCGAAGACATATCCGACGTTAGCACCGCCAATCCTGACCGTACAACAGCAGTATGCAGGCTTGAAGCCGCACGAAATAGCCAAGATATCCGCCGTGATTCTTTCAGAAACGCAGAAGTTGAAGGATACTGAGACGGTCTTCTCGGTAAGTACTGACAGCTTTACCTTTCGCTTTGGGCTCTTCCTGCCTCGTGTTCGCTTTGTCTCCACCGCTGCCACGTTACCCCCTCTCGTTGTTCCACGTTCCCGTCACCCGTGAGCATTTGCCGATACACAGTGTACATCTGTACGGCTTGAGAACACGTCGACAGCGCCGTGAGGTACCCTAAAAGGCACTAAACTCCAAAACCAACTTCCGTGATGATAGTCTAGACGACCCTGTCTTGATCGTTCCCTCCCTAACTATGTTTTGCAGCAGCATAAGCCCAGTCGTCCCCGATAGGGTACTGATCTCTCGCTGCCGTAAATAGTCACCTGGCCGAGTTCACGTTCCCCGTGGCACCTCGTGTCTGTTGCTATACTCGTTTCGTACCTTGCTTCTTTCGGAGCAAGCAACCGCGTTTCTCTCTCACCCCGCTTCGCCGTTCCTTTTGCCTATCTGATTCCCTTCGCGCACACACGCGACTAACCGGTCCTCGTTTACATATAGGCTGTCGCCGCAGCCCAAGACTGGCTCCAGAACAACGTTATGCCACCCGTCGAGCCCGTTGGATCGCTGGCGACGGAGATGAACCGCCGTGCCCTCGAGGCGGAGCAGGCGCATCTTCAGCGGAAGGAAGCACAGGCCGAGGAAGCTCTTCGCCGCGAAGCGCAGCGTCAGCTTGAGCTCGAGGAGCAAATCCGTGCAGATGCAGAGCGTCAGCAAGCCGAACGTGCACGGCTCAATCGCACCCGTGAACGCTCAGAATCTGATGCGACAGAGACGGCCGTCAGCACGCCCGTCGAGGACGGGACGAAGATTGTGTCCTTCCCCGAGGAGATTGTCTGGGAAGATGTTCATTTCTCGCACGTCAAGCTCTACCAGGCACAGAAAGGTGTGTTTCATGAATAGGCCATTGTCACTCTGACTGACCCGCCGCAGAGTGTCTCGGCATAGTCTGGCAAGCGGAGCCTATTTGCGACAGCGAGCACTCGCTGCAGCTCGAGCTTCTCGTGGTAGAATTCAACGGCAGGTACTATTCGACGACGCATGGACGCAAGAAGCTCAAGACCCTTGCCGACGATCTACGCAGGCTCTCGAGCGTGCGGCATACGAACCTACTCGCGGTACTCGCATGCAAGCTGACGCTACCCAACACGAACACCCCGCCAAAGCTGACAATCTTGCATGAACGACGGCCTTCGTTGACGCTACACGACGTGCTTGAAGATTGCGAGTCTCTGCGCGAAGACCGCGCCTCAGATTATCTCACCCAGATCCTTTTGGCGCTCAACGCTTTGCACACTGCAGATGTTCTCCATCGCGGGTTGAGCACGAAGTGCGTTGGTCTTGTCCCCGGGAAGCACCCGGGGGATCCGAAAGTCGTCAAGATTTTCAAAGTCGGATTCCACGTCGCACTGTTCGACATGAACCGCTCCGAGCGGTTCCTACAGTGGTGCCCTGGCAAGCCAGAACATCAGAACATGCCTGAAGGCTGGTGCGTAATCGTTGGGAAGTATGCGGAATTTCATTTATGTAGTACGCACAGGTTACCGAAGGATGCGCTCGAGTCGCCTCTTGAGTACACGAAGAACCGTGACGTTCACTCTATCGGAATCATCTTGCTCCAGATGCTACTCGGGCTGAACGTTGTGGAACGCTACCCGGACTTCCATATAGCTCTCCGCAGCTGTAAGTCCTTCGGGTTCATGTGCACGCTTGAACGTAACTGAGACAGCTATAGCGGGTATATCCCAGTCTATGCAGCAACACGTGCTCGCGATGCTTGCACCGACCAAGAAACATGTTTCGCCGCACTCGCTTTTGGCAAGCATGGCAGGCGTAGCGCTCAGCAATGCAATGCGTACGCCGTCTATTGCAATCAACGGTGCGCACCATATTTAAGTATGCAGCGTCTTGGTTAACGAGAATGCAGGTAATGGGCACGGCCCGAAGACGCCGCATGCAATCACAAACTACAGCGGCTCCCCCGAGTCAGACTACTTTAATAAGACGATTGCCGTACGGCCAAGACATGCGAGCAGGTGGAAGGAAGATTGGGAAGAACTTGAACTTTTGGTTAGTTTCTCTCGTTCATTGGTTTGTCCTCAGGTGCTAATGGGAGCTAGGGTCGTGGAGCGTTTGGTTCCGTTGTCAAAGCGCGGAACAAGATGGACTCGAGAATTTATGCAGGTATGTGCCGGCTGATACGCCAGCTCCGGGCAGGCATGTGATTGACAGCTGACTGGGCTGTAGTCAAGAAGATCCGCTTGCGCACAAATCAGAATGACCAGAAGATCTTCCGCGAGGTCGATACGTTAAGCAGACTCAACCACCGATACATTGTGCGGTACTACACAACCTGGATCGAGACCTCGGACGACGTCTCAACGGCGACATCGGCGGTGGGATCGTCTGCTGGCACTTCCGTTCCCGGCGCAGCTCACGGGAACGGGTCTACGACCGAAGAGGAGAGCGACCCATTTGCCATCAATCTTGATGACCTTGATGACTTCAACGATACGCCGAGTCACAGTTTCCCGGCTATCACCTTCACGCGGAGTGGCACACCCCGGTCAGACGAAGGCGAGTCCGGCAGCAGCGACGAAGACGGGACCTCGAGCGACGAGGTGGCGTCGCCTGTGAACGGTCGCGGACGCGAGCTCACGAAGCGCACTGGGACGCCAGTGCCCTCCATCTCGCGGACGTTATACATTCAAATGGAGTATGTCGAGCGCCAGACACTCAAGGAGCGCATCGCCGAGGGTTTAAGCGAGAGCGAGACGTGGCGGCTCTTTCAACAGATTGTCGACGCGCTCGTGCACATGTCGAGCATGAACATCCTGCACCGTGACATCAAGCTCACGAACATCTTCATCGACGGCAAAGGCGACTGCAAGATCGGGGACTTTGGCCTTGCGACTAGCGCCCTGGCTGTCGTCGACCCGACTGATCTCATCCAGACGCCGATCGTAGATGCGGACATGACACTTGACGTTGGCACCAGGCTGTACATCGCCCCCGAGGTGCAGTCATCCAAGGGCAAGGCACGCAATCATGCGAAGGCAGACATGTACAGCCTGGGCGTCGTCTTCTTCGAGATGAACCATCCCTTCACGACGGGCTTTGAGCGCATCAGGGTCTTAGAACATCTAAGGACGCCAGAGATCATGTTCCCTTCTTCATGGGATTCACACCGGACGAGGCAAAAGCAAAGTGAGTGCGTAAGCTACTGGGCTGCGTATTTCTACTAACAATTTATGTAAGTCATCTCCTGGCTCTTGAAGCACGATCCCGACGAGCGACCGACTGCTCTCGAATTGTCTCAGAGTAATCTGTTACCTCCACGAGTAGAAGACGAGTTCTTCAAGGATACGCTGAAGTTAATAGGTGCGTAAGTGGTGAAGCGATCTGATTCGCTCCTGATCACTTCTCATTTGCAGTCAAGCACGATTCGCCGTACCGCCAGTCCGTCTTGTCCACGCTTTTCAGCCAGACCACGAAACCATCGCATGGATTCCTTTACGATCAAGACGAAGTGCCCGAGCATACGACTCTTAACGGCATGGTTCACGACCGCATGGTGCAGATCTTCCGCCTGCATGGCGCCGTCGACATGGAGCCGCCACTGCTTCTTCCTGTCCTCAACCCGGACGACGACTACTCCCGTGCTGTCTTCTTGGATCGTAATGGAGATGTGGTATCTCTACCGAACAACCCGCTTGTTCCCTTCGCTCGAATGGCCGCCCGTACCAATATTCGCAGAATTAAGCGCTTCCACATTAGCGATATTTACCGACCTGAGTGAGTTATATTGCGAACTACAAAGAGCTACTCTGATGTTACATAGCCCCGTCGCCGGTCATCCCAAGGCTTCCAAAGCTGCGGTATTTGATATCATCACACAGGATCTCGAGTGTGGCCCCAGTGCTGCAATAGCTGAAGCTATCGCCATTGTCAACGATTGCCTCGACAGTTTTGCCAATCTTGAAAAGTATGAAATCCACCTGTCTCATAGCAAGAGTATGTGGTTCGTTGGAGTTGTCCGCGATAACTGCTGATGTGCTCTTCAGTATACGATACCCTCTTCGATCAGGTACCGCCCGAGCTCCGGAATGACGTGCTCAAGCTACTCGTACAATCAAACGCATCACCGTCGCAGCGGCGGCAGCTTCTGATTGAGAAAGGTCTGACTCGGAGCTTCGTCGATTGTATCGAGGTATTGGCGGACGGTGGTAAGCTGAGCCTGAACCTAGACTTCTTCGGTGTGACGTCTTTGACACTGCTGCGCAGACGCTGATGTCGACGAGCTGCTCTCGCGGCTTGAACGCGTATCGCCGCAGATGGTCATTGGTATCTATCAAGCTGCACAAGAGATAAAGAGTACGATGCATTGCGCAACTGCGACGGGCGTCACGCGCACGATCTACTTCCATCCGCTGTTCATGATGCGCAGCCCGACGAATTTCTTTGACGGGCTTTGCTTCGAAGTCGTCAAGCGCCAGCAGCCTCAGCAGAAGAGGTCAGATACGCTGGCTATTGGCGGGCGGTAGGACATATTGCATTGCTCATCAGGTATGCCTCTGATTGTGTCTTGCCGTAGGTACGACAAGTTCGTCAACCGGTTTAGCCCGGTGCGATCGAGGACCGAAGGGTTATCTGCCGTCGGCGTACAAATCTCGTTGGAGAAGATCACAGTAGCCCTGGCTTCCTACCAGAGCGCCTCGCAGAAATCTCTCAAGGAGCGCAAGTCCTACGGCTACTGGAGTCCTCGGCGCTGCGACGTCTATGTCGTCTCACACCAATCCGGTCACCTCGCAGATCGTTTGGAAGTAACTTCGCTACTGTGGCGCAACAGCATCAGTGCGGACATGATGTATGAGTTCGGCCTGCAGACAGTCGAGCACGAAAATGTTGTCGAGCAGTGCTCGAGAGAAGGCATTTTGTGAGTCATGGCGCTCTCCTTCGTTGCGTGCCATCGCTGATTAACAGATTAGGTTTATCGTATACCCGCGCCCTCGCAACGCCCGTCGCGACCAGCCTGCATTCAAGGTGAAAAGCGTGCTGAAGGGTGTTGAATACGAGTGTGAGTATTAGCTTCCAATTTGTAAGAGGTTCAAGCTCATTGTTTGCAGTGTCTAAACAGGAACTTGTACCATTCCTCCACCAGCAAATCGCCGAACAGAAGCGAATTGACGCTTCGCTTTCTGGGGCTCCCCTCATCTCGGTAGCAGAGGGTACACAGGCTGTGGCTGCGTCCAAGGAGGCGACGGGGCCAGAGGTGCAGCTTCTGCTTCAAGGCGACGCCAAAAAGCAGCGAAAGCAGACGAAACAGATGTATATGGACAGAGGCAGGTATTTCTCGTCTCCGGTCCTATCGGCGATCTAACAGCTCCTCTAGCCTTCGAGTTTGGGGTCGACCTGAAGAACGCAATGGCTCAGTCGAACGTTCCTATCGTCGCAGTCGACGTCAGCGACTCCCTCTTCGACCAAATGACGAAGAGTACCATGTGGCTCTCGGACGAAAACGCTTGGAAAGCCCTGGTGGCCCAGTTTCCTACGTCGCAGTCCTCCTATGCTCACCAGATTCGCGAAGCGGTGCTGAGGCGCAAGGCTGACGGGTGCAAGTTTCTCATTCTCTTTGCGGTGAAAGAAGAGCGGCCTTTCCTTATCAATCTCTAATACATGCCCCTTTTGATATCTCCAGATCACATGCTTAATCTCACATACGCACCTCATCTCAATCTTGTATAATTTCGCAAACGCACATATGTATGTAGCCATGTAATGGAACCTCACGAATGGGTACACCCCCGCACCTTGATGAACTTACACGGTCTTCTAGCCGGAGGATTTGAGCGACGTTCACATCGCGGTATTTGCCTGAGAACTAGCGATAAGATTATCCTTTCTTGATGCTTACCTATAGAGACTATCCTAATTGAAGCATGTCCCGCGAATGATTGGACATGCCCATTTTGTTTCTCCGATTTTCCGCCAGCGCCCTCCAGGAAGATTTATTTGGATATGTTAGGATCCAAAGCCATCGCCTTCCAAACTAAGCGCACGCCTCTGACCCACTCGTACCAGCTGGTTCCGCTTCACAGACTTTTCTCGTATACATGGACATTAATTGAACCGAATCATCAAATGACGAAATCTCTGTCTCGCTCTTCCTAATTCGGTCCGCGGCTTCGAACCACGTTCAACTACATTCACTTGCTGTACGTGTCGTCTACGCGGGAGTCGCGTTGGAAGGTGTATCAAGGTGAGAGCGACTTGCATGCTAAATCTGTTGTATGACAGGGTATTGATGCTTAGTAAACACTCTTCCCAGCAAATTACTCGTATCCCCATTGGGAATCGTTGCAAATCTACCCTAAATAAACTGTCCCCCAATGGCACCGTGCCGTTATTTTCTAGATCTACTACGTAGGTGTCGCGATATCTGTTGCCGATAGAGGCATACTTCTAGAACTAGACTGGAATAGCGGATCTGGAGAATCGTTGTCACATGCGACGACCTCGTTGCTGGTCGGGTAGGACAAGAAGCATACAACGTATAGTCCTGGCCGGCCGTAATTCCAAATACTGGTTATTGCATTGAGAATAGGTGAGTAGAAATTAGTCTATCTGCACTAAAGTAACATAGCTAGCCTTGCAAGATGGCAAACGACGATCTACGCAAAATCTCTGTAAAGCATCGCTTATCGAATAACTTCTCACAAGAAGCATTCGCATATCCCGTACGTGAATAATTGGTCTTGTATTTTGCCGGCGGTTCCGACACGATGCTCAAACCTACAGCGCTACTGCTTGTTGCCGTAAGAGATGCCCAGGAATGAGCGTCCGGTGACGTCTGCAGCCAGATCACGCGCATGATCTTCTGCGTGATTGAGGACTAAGAAGTTGCCCTTTCCCGCATGCAACGCCTCATGGTAGGTTGCTCTGGGACAGTTTGATTCTACTGTTCCATCCCCGACCAAACGCGGACTTGCTGCGCGGCTACCTTTTCGCTATCGTACGACAGGCATACCGGCCATTCTAGACACGCGTGGGCCGCAACCCTGCGCACTTCATTATGTAGGACCTTCCCTTCACAGCACAATTGAAAATTTTCTGACAAAATCCCACAGGGTTGCGTACTTCTCGGAGAGAGAAGCAGCGCATTGGTCCCGAACTTAATTACAAGCTTTCAAGCTTGGGTAGCCCCTCTAGATGGTATTTTCAGCTGTCAAAAACGGACGGTACGCGCGATAATCTCTAAGATCGTACCCGCAGTCCATAAGGTTCGGCGCTACAGGGTCTGACGCAACGCGGCGTTCGCGAATCCACTCATAATTGCTCGAGGGGCGCTATGCATGGCAACAATAATCTGCACCTTGACAGCCCCATCTTATGTGTCGAATAGGGACGCCGCCGCCAGGCCTCACGGCAGGCGCCTCGCCGCATCACAGAGCATACTGGCAGCCGGAATGTTGCTGCGGCAGATGCTGAACCCCGCTCGAGGGGACGCCAGTCCCTGGCCCTGCGTGCGTGCAGTCAGGTGCTGGCCCAGGACCTTCCGGAAGTTCAACGCCTTCTGGTAACCCCCGTGTTCCTGCAGCCTTCGAACTCCCAGCTGTTCCTTCCCTTTTCGCCGTCTGCCGTTTCCAACTTCGTATTGTGCCCGGTCAATACGACATGCTGACCCTGCTGGCACGCTCCACCCGCTCCTGCACCCTTGTCAGCGTCAAACACCGTCGGCTTGCCGGCAGCCGCCACTCCACCGACGTATGCGTGATCGCTGTCCACGCCAGAGCCACCGCTGAATGGTTCGCTTACTCTGTGCACGTCTGACCTGCTTCGCTCGCTTCCTGCTACTCGAAATTCTCCCGCAATTACATCACTCCCCCTCGGCCTCTACAAGCTTACGGTCGGGGTCCTGTACCCGGATGCGGCGCTCGTTCTTCCCTCAGCTGCCTCCCTGAAGTGACCTGCGAAACGGTCCCATGTCAATGTAAACTCTAGTCGCGTGACGCTTAGGCGAAGTGGGGCAACGAGCGACAGTCTCACAGTGAGCCTCTTCCATGTAAGATTTGTGTCATTTATACAGGAGGCGGTGGCGGAAGAATCTACATGTACTTGATTCTCTCTCCGACACTTGCCTTTCACCCGGTACAGTTAGTTATCGCTGCTTCCAGACATGTCTCTATCGGCTGATTTCATGTTATTCAGATGTCAATACGAAAAGGATTTTGGCAAGCTGTGGGCTCCCTAGTCCCGCCGAACTTCACCAGTGCTCCACCTAGTCGCACATGATGTAAGAGCTGTTAGCACTGAGGTTAGGGTTTAGATAGTCGTCGGCCTTGCCACTTTTGTCAGCAGGGCACCCGGCCTCAAAGAGACTTTGACTTCAGCGTGGGCAAGATGATGACTCGTTGGGTTCAATCATTAATTCCCTGACTTGTTCCGAGGGTGCTATCAGGCTCCCAGGGTCCTCCCGCTCGGACAGCTAGTCTATCTTGGGTATGTGCCCTCAGGTTCATGCGACCGTTGTGGCACGCTGAACTTCGCCGACCCGCACAATCTGCTGACTCAGAGCCCCAGACCGTTTCATTTAATGCAGACAGCTGTCAAATGACTCCCCGCAGGGACCTCTTATCTCAATCGAGCGAGTAACATTCCTCGTAGGCTTTGATTCCTGGGCATCCTTCAATATTCTCCACCGGCGCAGTACGCTGTGCTCGTCATCTATCACCACACTGCGCAATTACAGACGAAGCTCGCTTATGAGTGTCACGAGCACAGCCCTCGCTTTCCGTGAGGGCTACGATCAAAGTCACTTCAGCTTATTACTTGCGGTATCACGGGCCTCTCGCCGAATTGGTCTGATGTTCTTCCACTCACGTAGGTCCCCATTGGTAGAATAGCGGATACCTCATGGAGTGGGGTCGCTTCTAGTTGCCGCCTAGGAAACTATAAAGCTAGGACGATCTAGTGGATCGTTTATCATACCGTATCCTCTTCAGTACCAACCTTCCTCCCACTTCGTGCTCCCCCTAGCGGATACCGTACGCAACCGTTGTCCCTGGTGGGCCCTTTCACTTCATGTCACTATTCCAGCGCTGGTAGGTATATGGGGGTACCAGCACGCGCCCCGCGCTGTCCTTCAGACAACGCTCCCTACAGCGCGCGAGCCGCACCCTGACTTCCGGTGCCACCACTCGGCAGCCATGGTGGCCTGTCTCACTCGAGCAGTCGCCAGCCGCCGTGTCGTGGCGGCCGCAAGGATTGGTGGGACCCGCTCGCCGTGGGGAGACATCAAGCCCGCGCCACGGCATCCGATACCTCCCCCATTTCCCTTAGCCGCTGTACCCCGCTCGTCATCCGTTTGCCACCGCGATGTGGAGAATTTGACACTGCCCGAAGCCACAAGAGCTTCCGCGTCGCCGGTGTTTGTTCGCGCGTACCTCTGCCGGTGCATCTGTCGACGCTTCGCCACAGATGCGTCTGTCCCTGCCTGGTACTCCTTATCGCCATTCCCGGTCACTTGTTTGACTGTATCTAATTGTTGTACCCCTTGTGCTATGCAGGTGACGTACCCAAGATCGCCCTGACACCTCGTGTCACGCATGCTTCTGGTGTGTCCTGTTCCTTGGTCTCTCTGACAGGATTTCTGATCCTGGCCTTTACGGACCACGGTAACAGGAGCCCGGGAACGATCGTCAACAGAGGACGTCTGCCATTGGGTGCCTGGCCTGACTAGGTACTGCTCTACCATTCACACAGTCTGTTGTCGAAGCTATCCTTCTTCTATACATATATGCCCCTCGTTTTCTACATGCCGTCGCTGGCCGTTATCGCCGCAAGCTGTGAGGCTCGCGGGTACGTATCATGGCCCGAGTGCGATTATCGTTCCGAGCTCTCGCGCTCGGCGCACATGAGAAGAGCGTGCCAAGCACGTCACGGTTCATGAACACCATGCAACATTCCGATTGTGCTGCACCATGCGCGATAAGGCGTGATAACGAGACGTGTAATCGCTGGTCTCCACCGTGGGCTCGCCCGAAATGCGTCCTCTACCTACGTACGAGGGTACTTGCGGTACACAGGCGAATCAAGTTCTAGCCACAGCTAAAATCCTCTTAGCTGATGAAGACAAGAGCTGAGGGGCAAGCTGTCATACCACCGACATAACAGAGCCTTGCCAACAATCCGAGTATTCGGCGAAAGAAGGTTCCCGCATGGCAACATTGTAGCGCGCGTACGACTTAGTCTAAGACAAACCGTTGTTACATGTGCGCGCGTGCCCTCGTTCTCGGAAATCACATCGAGAGTCGCAAGCAGACCAGCATAACTATGGGTACACGAGAGGGTAGATGTGCGATAGCATACGAGTGCATAGCATACAGCACGACACCTGAACTTATGTACAATGCTAAGCCTATGCGTCTGGGCCCGATAGACACGCCTTTTCCGTCACATCCACAAGATGACCATCCCCAACGAACCTTAGACCTTTCAGACTGAGCGAGACGCTTAAAGCTTGGCAGCGTTGGCGGCAGAAAGGGTGTGGCCGGCAGCCTTCGCACGCTTGCGGAGCATCTGAGCGGACTTGTTGCCACGGATACCTCCGCCCCACTGGCGGCGGTGCTCCTCGTATTTGTCCGAGCTGCACAGCCAATAGTAAAGAATGAATCGCAGCACGAACTAGCGAGCGTTACGCACAAGTTGGCCTTAGCGGCGGAAACGAGGGTGGCCAGCTCGCGCTGATCGTCAGAGCGAACATCCTGGAGCGTAACAACAGCAGCGGTCTTCTTGTGAACGACGGTACCAAGACGAGCCTTGCCCTTGACGATGACATAGGGAACGCCCATCTTGCGGCAGAGGGCGGGGAGGAAGATAACGAGCTCGATGGGGTCGACGTCGTGGGCGATTACAACGAGAGACGCCTTCTTGGCCTCGATGAGGGCAACGCAGTGGTTCAAGCCGTACTTAACGAACAATGGCTTCTTGGAGTCCTTGGCCTGCGCCTCCTTCTCTTCGGCGGTAGCTTTGGCGAGAGCGTCGAGGCGAGCCTTCTTCTCCTGCTTAGTCTCAGGCCGATACTTGTTAAGAAGCTTGAATAGCTGAGTAGCAGTGTTCTTGTCCAGAGTATGAGAAAACTGCGCGATAGCAGGAGGCACTTTGAGGCGCTGATTGAGGATGACCTTCTGCCGCTGGAGACGGACGTATTCAGGCCACTTGACGAAGCGGGTCAAGTCGGTCTTGGGCTGAATATCCTGGCCTAAAGAGATAATGAGACTCGCGATTACTTGTGTATATAGTGCTGATTCTGACCAATGCCGAAGTTCTTTGGGCGAGACTCGAAGAGGGGATTCTTCTGAGTCTTGCCGGCCTTGCTGGCGAAGGGGGCAGCAGCGGGCTTCTTTCCGGTCTTAGTGTTGGCCTTCGGCTGGTCATTGAGACGAGTATCAGCAATATGCTTGACGGCAGTAACGCCGTCGGTGTACTCGGAGCTCTACCGCTCGCACTCAGCTCATCAAGATAAGCGAGTGCAAGCCCAGCATCCACACCACGCCTCATCGCTCAAAGAGCTCAGCATGCGTGTCCATGTTTTCGCTTGAAACAGGTGTCTGTAAGCCTTTCTGGAAGCGAGAGGGTTAGCAGCCTTCAGAGAGTCATCCGAACACGCAACATACCATCCACCCTCGTAGCCCACCATTCGGCCAGACACCCGTGAATTCCGAGCTCCTTTCCACTTCTATGCTGACGACCTGCAGTTGTACTCACCATTTTGTTGGAGTCTTGAGGCTTGAGGACGTTGGTAGTGCTGAAAAACGAACCGAATCAATGACCGGCGCCTATCCAAGTGGCCACGTGACTCTGAATATCGAAGTCGTACCAGGGCCCAATGTGGGCATCGAGTAGTTCCCTAACTTGCCTTCGACAATTCAAGTTGCCATAAAACCTTTACTTTTGATGTCTTTTTGAACTAAAAGGATACCTGATTAGGCCCGGAACGGTGCGTTTTGGGCCTAATCAGGTATCCTTTCAGTTCAAAAAGACATCACACTGGGTGGTAAGCGCAGTTTTTTCCCTCGCAAGATTGATTAATAACTGATTCGACAAGGACCTGAGTTTTTCCGGTTTTTACCTGAGAAACACCGAAGGTAAAACTTAGCTTTCCACCAGTTTTACTGCATTTTGGCCTGTTTTGGTCTGTTTTGCACCAGTTTTCTTCTTGATTTGCCTCGGCGCACGACGGAGAAAGATTTGGGCTTTATTTAACCGCTTTTGTCCAGGTTTCCTTAAGAAAAAACTGCACTTACCACCTTGTGCAAAAGTACAGTAGTACGTCGCTTTGTATTCCGTGATCGATACAGTACTCACAGTACTACTAGTGCCAGGTGACTGTATTCATAGCATCCATAGAATTCGCTCTCATGTGACAAGAATGCCACAGCCAATATCTTAAAGGGCTATGCTGGTCCTAGGGAAGGCGATGCTCAGCTGCCAGGCGCGAGCCCGGTTGCAGGGCATCAATCTACTTGGTTGACACGCTCGCTTGGCTGTGCTGAGATACGGGGACGGCTTTTATAACCGATTCGACCTCCCTCTCGGGCCTTTCTCTCAACGTCGTCCTCTTTGACTTACGTTCTCAATGGCTGCCAACGTTCCCGAGGAACTCTTCGAGCACATCCTATGGCACGCTTGCAACTACGGCTTTGCACTCCCGCTTTGTCGTGAAACGAAGACTGCGATATCGCTCTTTGGACAGGTGTCTCGCTATTGGGCTCGCCTATCCCGGCGCAGGCTCTTCTGCGAGCTCGTCCTGCGCTCTCCAGATGATCTCCAGCGTCTGCAGACGTTCTTGGCAGCGCCCACTCCTACGGGCCTGGAGCCCATCGCCGAGCTCGTCTTATCTTTTAGAGCGGTGGTCAACGGTGGTTGTAGACCATGGATTCATTTAGCGGCATCAGTCATTAAATCGAGGCTGCGAAATTGCCAGTACTTCACTCTCGCCGTCGTCCAGTTGGGCAACCGCTCGCCAGCTGAGCAGTGGCGCACCTTACATCCAAGCCTCCCACGCACGCTACCCGGTTCCACGTCGCAAATTTTCAGACTACACTTTAATTCGATGCACTTCCCAAATGGCCGCACGCTCTTTCGTCTGCTCGCACCCATCCCGTCCCTGTGCGCCGTGGACCTCATCGATATCACATGGGATACAGAACCGACGACGAACGACTTTTTCGCTGCTCCATTCGGGTGGAGGCTCAGTGGGGTGGTGTCTGACAGTCTCCTCGCTACCTATTTCTTACCATTGTTGGTTGCGAGCATCAGATGCGCACATCCAGCGACCAAGGGCCGTCGGGAGCGCCTTCCAAAATACCTCCTAGACGTCGAAGACCACCGAACGTTGCTAGATCTGCTCAGCATCCTCGAAGGGTCGCGTTCCGCACATGAGTGGGTAGTGCCGTCGGTTGAGTGCAGGCGCACCGTCGGACGTATCCACGATAGTCTCTATGACGATGGTCCAGAGCGGACCCGTGCGTGTTTCTTGACCTCTAGATGCGATGATGCTCAATATATGGCAGACCTGCAGTTCTTCTGCGCATCACAGCTTAGTTGCCAACGGCTCGGACCCGAGGTATTCGTCCACCTCACGCTGGATGATTCACTGACTGTTCATGGGCCAGCCGTCCTGCATATCGACGCGATACACGTCAGCTACATGGAGGACTTGCCGGCCTTCGCGGGCGAGGTTCTGAACGAAGGAATGTGGGCCTCGTTTGCGGACACTACCCTTCGGCTCCACCATCTCCCAATACGTAGAGCTTCTCCGACCTGCAGCCATGCGCGATGAAAGTCTAGGCGTGACCGACCGGGCGTTCCAGCCACTCATTGACATGGGTAGGCTGCGGAGCCGCTAGCTTGAGGACACCTGGTCAGACAAGACAGTCGCTGTGCGGATGAATGGGACGCGGTGGTTGCCTAGAGCGAGAGAGTCGAGTGTGTATGCCAAGGCCGCGCCTTCTTGATCTGGAGAAACACCGTCTATTCGAGTATGTGTTGCATCATGATGCATTTCTTGCTTCCGCTCACAAATGTAGGAGAAATCAGGTGCTATTTTCTGACATGGCCATGGACACAGTGCACCTGCACACATAATCGTGCCGGCGCGCGATGCGGACTGATGATTATAGGGTGAACTTGAAGGACGATATGTCAACGAATATAATATTATAGAGAATTAGCTGCATGGCGATGATTCTGTTATTTGTTCCCTCGATATGCTCACGCTCCGCCATTATGTTTTAGGGACTACTGGGCGCTGATATCTGGGCATCTCGATATACTCAGGTTACTTATCTGATAGCGTCTATTTGCATGTTTTCTGCGCTGCACCCCAATCGCCCTCAGCTCACCGATAAAATACTACGTAGTTGCGGTAGTGTCCTAGCCGGCTAAACAGCCTAGACACGTTTCTTCAGGATTTATTATCAGTTTGCTCAATATCTCAGCGCCCACACTCAAGCGCTGTAGCTATTGCGCCACTACTAATGAAGCAATACGGCGGGATTGATGCGCCATCATGGTAATTCCGGTTCGGCTCGGATGTGATCGTCCCGACTTTGCGACGCCGAAGGCAGTGTGGTCTTGATTTCAATGGTGTTTCAGCGCAAACACCGTGGTCGAGGCACCGCCGCTTGTCTCATCGTGATATTTGTATAAGGAGCAGCGCGTCTTCACTACCTTTTCCTCTTTCCTCCCCGTCCTGGTTGACCCACGACTACGTTCTACGACTTCCCGTTACTTTACTTAGCCTTTAATATCACAAGTGGCTGGTCCATTTGACGTTCGTTTTCTATCTTCCGACCCTTTTTGCTCCCTTTTCACGCCTCGACGTCCAAGTTTACGACACATCCAACGAACAATGATTGAGAGGATGTTCAACAGGACTACCGCTTCGACTTCCCGTGCTGCCCGCTGCCAGAATGTGCCTCGGGCTCTCCAGCTCTCGCAGGCCCATAGACTGTCTGGCATGTCACCACAGTCGCCTCTGAAGGGCGGCGCTTTCCTCCAGGTCAGCGGAAGGTACGTACGCATCCCGCTAGCGCGCATCAGCACGTCCTGAACAGCTTGCCAGACCAACCCCGCCGCCAACCGCCACATCGCCCTCGCCCTTCTTCGCACTTTGCTCGCCCCTCATACAGAGCCCGCGCCAGCGCGTGGAGAAACTTACCCACTGCCTTGCCTCGAGCAGGCCTGCCGAGATCGTCTACCCCTCCCTTGACCAGGTCACCGCCGAAGCCGAGCACGTCTCCACTTTCCTCGACCTCTACCGCGTGCGCGGCTTTGACGACGCACAACTCGTCAAAGTCAAGTCCCCCACGACTTGCGATGGCGAGCCTTGGGCCCCATTCACCGCGCCAGACATGCCCGCGCAGCCCCGCCGGAGACGCAATACCCTCCGTCGCAGTCGCTCACTCGGCGATATGCAAAGTGGCATCGCGATTACCTCCGATGTTGTGCACGGCCCCGCTGCAGGGCGTGTAGCGACGGCCGAAAAGACCCACGCGATGCGGCTTGGCCCTATGCGTAAAGACTCAGAATTCTTTCTTCAGCCCGTCCGGCGCCGCGGCGCGATCGTCAAAAGCGACGCACGGCGTATGGCCGAGTTCCGTCGGCGGTTCGGCACGCGTCCCGCGCGCCTCGCGCCGCGCTTCCCCGCGCCTGACGCCCCGCTACCATCGCCTCCGCCTCCATCTGCACTTCTAGAAGTCAAATCGCCGCTTCCTCCTTCGCTAATTGCTCCAAAGGCAGTGGTTGTAGTCCCGCAGCCGAGTGCATACGCCTCCCTAGTCACCGTCAAAGGACAGTCGCCACTCCGATCTCCGCAAGCACCGTATTGGGTGAAGAGCCCTGTAAAGGAGGGAGAGGGGATCCCAAAGACCCCAAGGACGATTAGAAGCGAGCGTAGACAAGGTTGGGGCGGCGCGTGGACTATGGGGAGTATTGGCCAGGTTGTGCACAAGCTACGAGAGGTTCAATAGCAGGTTAAGCTTAATGACTCCTGGCATGTCCCTCGTTTATGATTGAGCGTATAAGTCCTAGAGAACTTGTCGTAGTCGCACGTACCGTGGTGTCTAGGTTGTAAAGATTTATTTTGAACATATTTTATAACGAGAGGTAGAGACCAAAGCTTAAGCATACCGAAACATGTACCTAGCATTTCAATTGCAGTCACAAAAGGCACGCTTACATATTTACAGCATCGGCGATTTTCATGATCATGGTAAATATAGCTGTACTACTGGATAACTCAAAGGCGCGTTCATTCGCGTGACAAAAACGACAGTAAGCCTGCGCAACGCTAGATAAGTAATATCGTACGACTTGCTCCATGAGGTGTGATAAAGTCCGAGCCTGCACCCGAAGAAGTACTGGCGGAAGCGATGCAACCTGACTGACACGAGATCTCCTCGAGCACTGTGCTCTTGCGGCCACCTCTGATAAGTTAACGAGTACAAAATATGACTACCGAGCTTAAAGTTGGTTCGGCTTGTTGTCAAACATGTATCCAGCTCTGCATTAGGTGAGAAACTGCCAAAAGGAATACAGCCGCAGCTGAGACTAGTATCAGTTTTAAATCCTCGAATATATATGCTGCGCCACACCACCCAACCATACATATGATACACCGGATGTCGTCTTGTGTAACACAGTAAAAAGCGCAGAACATGAGAGCAATTAAGGTCCAGGAACAATTAAGTATCTATAAAGGCGAGGTACGAACCGTCGACGAGAACATGTCGGTGGTGAATAGCGGTAATAATGACGCTCAGCTCGCAAGTTCCAGAGCACCAAGAAGATCAGGCAGGAACAAGGAGATCAACGAAAGGGGTGGTAAGGGCCAGTGGCGGATGACACTATGAGTTAGAACGGTCACGCGCTTTGGAGGGTTTTGCATTACGCTGCTGTGCGGGTGGTGGCGGTGACGGGATGGCACCTCGTCCGTGTGTTGGGATGTAGTCACGATCGGCTTCGTCGCACTTGAGGTGGAGCAAGAGGTTGTGCACGAAAGCTTGTTCGTACCTATGAAAGCGTCAAGGCCTGCGCCGGAGGAATCGAAGAGAAAAAACTCACTGAGCGTTGGTAAAGACGACTGCCATCGATTCTGAGTTGCACCGCAGCAGGTTTGGGGCCATGACCAACGCAAGGTTCGGTGCTGTCATCTTCGTGACGTTCTGCACTTTCTCGTCGAGGAACAGCTGCAAGAAGCTGATCACGAACAGTACCACGTAGCGATTGATAGTCGGCAGACGGTGCACAATGCGTACGCACGCGGACGAATCGCGCGACTCGGCAATGCAGTCATTGTACATCTCGTCTGGCACGAGCGGGTCTGCGAGCTCGCGCAGCCATAGCTTGAGGAGCGACGCAAGCACGTGTGGGTCGTCGAATCCATCGAGGGTGTAATACCCCTTATCGATACGCAGTTTGAGCTCTGATACGAGGTCACTGTCGCCCGGTACGCGGAAGATACCTTCGAACTTGGTCCCTCCCAGCGCAAGAATGCCATCTGCAAGGAAGGGCAGGATGATGGGCACTTGTTGTCGTGGGTAGTTGCGTTCCTGCAGACGAAAGATGGCATCGAGGGACTCGCCGAAGATCGATGGATGAAACGCAGCGTCCGCGGCAGTCTCGATTTCGGCGAGCGTCGGCGGTTTTCCCCGAGGACCTTTGCGCGAAACGTACTCCAATCGCCGTAGGCAGTACTTCGCCATGACATCAACGCGGCTTTCTGTTTGATGTGTTGCTTGGCTGATGAACGAACGTAGAGAAGGCTCGAAATTCTTCGAGGGCGGGAACGTCACTAGTAGCACGCACAGCAGCTGCCATCCGCGGAACACGCTCTCCCTGAACAGTTCAGTCAGTATTACATACTAAATTAGGGCAGCGTGGACGTACAGGTTCGGGTTCCCAGTCAGCTGCTTCATAACTTGGCAGTATATCTCGTCACGGAGCTCTCCATGGCTGATGCCATCTCCAAGCAATGCTCGCTCCTCCTCGAGCAATATGTTCAACGTCACAAGCGATGCAGTCGAACCATTGTGGGACGGCCGGTCGCGGTCACCCATTATCCGCTGGATGGACTTAAACGTCTTGATCGCTTCTCTGTGTAAGTACTTATTCAGCTGCAAGAGAGGCGATCCCAGTGGAGACTACGTCAATCGTTAGATAATGTATAGACATTGGACGATGGTAGAACCCCACCTTTTGCCAGCTCATCATCTGCTCGACAGGAACTTTACGCCGGAAGATGAAGCCGGTACGGTGAGTGGAGAAGTATTGCTTTGCGAACTGCGACTCCGAAAATTGTTGTATGTCGCTTGCGAGGTCGTCTGGGAGCGCGGGATACGTCCTATAGTACAATTAACCTTAGCATCGAAGACAGATCGAACTGAAATACCCAGTGTGCAGCGACGTCCTTCTTTTGGCCGAGAAGTACATCCCTAGCTCCTCGTCCAGCAGGGGACGACTCGAGGGATTTATTGAAGCTCGCACGGAATCCTGCCGTTCGACAAGAATAGGCTTGCCCGCATTGCGCATCTTAACGGGTGTCATGTTCAGAGTCGCCTCAATGTTGAAAACAGGAGCGCTGATTTCCTTCCCGACGAGACGAGGCATCCCGTTTACGCCGTTGCCGTTTACGAACTTTCCGTTCGACTGCGTAGGCGTAAGCGGAGCGCGATCTACGAGCTCCTTACTCTTTGTGGGCGAATTCGGTGTGATGATGGTACCGCTAGGGTGCTCATATCCACTCGCGGGCTCGGTGCTCACTCGTGGTTGGGTATAACTCGCACCGGATGCTCTTCCCAAGGATACTGACTGTCGCGGCACACGCTCCTCAGGTGCAACCAAATGCTGTGCATTGGGCTGATAACCCTCGGCCTCTGCTGGAGGGTCGCTGCGCGACTGGGTCGACGTTGAGGACGACCGCGAAGAGTTCAGCCCGATCTTTTCGAGAGCAGCATTGAGGCTCTGTGGAGCGGGCGAATGGTAGCTGACGAATTGAGCTGACCTGGTCGATTTACTCGAGCGTGAGCGGACTAGCTCTTCGTCGGGCGCAGCATATTTACGCTTCGGCGAGTCCTTCTTTGACAAGTTTCCTGTGGCAGGGGTCTTGCCTTTGTCCTTCTCCTGCTTGAGACTAGTCGTTTGCGATTGCCTACGCTTGGCTGTCGGACTTGGCGGTGGCGTGGCATCTGTCGCGTACGGCGAACCAGGTATGGGTGCAAGCGGGTGTCCACGTTCGTACGACAGTGGTGAGACGGCTGAAGCGTGCGTACCAAACCTGTCGCTCGACGCTGAGCGTCTGAGGGATTGTCTAGATGCTTTGGAGGAGCTGGGGCTAGGAGCGGGGGATGAGTTGGGTGAATGTGTTGTATTCTGCCGGGACGTCGAGTGAGACCGTGGACGAGTACGCGAGTCGGTCTGAGCCTGCAAGGGACCATCGCTGGAATCCATATCGATGGCGTACGAGCGAGACCTGCGATATGCTGGCCTGTTGTCGGTGCCTTCTGCTTTGGAGGGGAAGTCGGGGTCCACTTTAGAGCTTCTGTTCGTCAAGGATAGCCTACGGCTGAGTGCTGTGTTCTAAGAGATGATAAAGTTAGGCGCATTCACGCGCTGACAGAAAGCAGTGACGTACCTGTAGCACACGCAACGGTATCACAAACGCCTGTGCAGGTCTTTCCCAAACGGTTTCCCCATTCTTCGTGTGGTAGTAGTACGGCAGCCCGCTCTCCTCGTCCATCATCTCCCACCATTCTCCTTCTTCACTAGGCGGCAGTCTACGGAAGAATAAGATCAGAACTAAGCGGTGGAGCAATGAGTAGAGAAGAGGTAGCATACAGGAAATTGCCTACTGGCGGGTCCCAGCTGACCTCTCCAGTGGCAGGACATGCAAAGAAAGATACACCGGTCTGTGCAGAAAATACCGCTCAGAGCTTGTATATGCATATAACGAGCACCTACGCACCTGAGGATCGACCAGTGTCACCCAGAAATTGGCTCCCCATCCAGTTCCATCGCTGGCGGGGGCAATGCTGCTAAACGAGGACCTAGGTCGAGGCGATGGGACGCTAATGCTGGTATTGGCCGGCCTACCATTCACCTGCACCTGAGGGGTCGGTGGAGTATCTTGTTTTGCATCGACAGGATCCGCTGGATCTTGACTGATTGATGCAGAGCGTGGATACGACGAGTTGGTACCAGGAGTAACAGGCATGCGGCAGTGGGAAAAGTGGCGAAAGGTTTCCAAGCTGATCAAGGCTGTCTTGTAGCCTGAAGTTGAGGCTAATGAGGTAGGAAGCTGAGAAAAAAGAGCGTGAGGTCGTGGAAGGCACGAGGTCGGCAAAGCTAATGAATTCTGAATAATGAGCCGAATAGCAGTGCAGGGGAAACAGAGAGATTATCGCCAGCACTTTGAGAAAAAAGAGGGACAGTGCTCAGGAGAACTGAGCGGACATTTGGCAAGTAGACGAAGACGAGAGAGGCACGAAGCGACTTATTAGCACCCGGCGGCTTTGATGGCGGGATTTGATGGCGGGTGTCGGGGCTCCTCGAGTTGGTTCCGCCGGCGTCTGGCGCGGCGACTCTCTGGCGAGTCCTTCACCACTCGCGTTCGAGCTTCGTGGATTTCAGTACGCAATGCTATTTTCACGGATACTCCAGGTTTCTGAAAGCATTGAAATGGACGGTAGCTGTATTTAAGGATCGCTCTCATACAGATCTGGTTCTCGGCATACTGTAGTTTTACGACCGTAGCGGATGTCACACGTCACAGGGCCCTCATCCTGTCCATTATTTCACCTCTGTCACACGTCACAGAGGGGTCCATCCGGTTGTGACATCCGAGATTTGTCACAAAGAAAAAGACGCATTTTTTCAGGCCTGCGGCGCTCTGTAGTACTGTAGAATGTATTATCATACCAACAATGCTACCCGGATAAAATACTGTAGCCACGCTCGGTCGTCCGTTAGCCGGCGGATGTCACAGGTCACCAAGGACCCATCCGCTCATCCGGTTCGGTGCACTTGTGTCACAGTCACAAGGCCATCCGGTACGGTCGTAAAAGTACAGTATATCCAACGGCCATTGCATAAAGACGGTCTTTATACAAGTTCTGCGCGCGCGTTCATGAAATCTCTCGTACACGCTGGAGTTCCACAGATGCTTGGAACATTCCAAGCACTGTTTGTGGCTCTATTCCTTCGCGCGCCACGCACAAGTACGAACAACAGGAGTTAATTATCGTGCACGCGTGCACAACACGCGGCTGAAAGAGTAAGCCCAACTACACCGCTCCAATGCCATTGTTAGATGCATTCTTTGGCACAGCTATCTTTGCCTCCAGTCGCACCGTCTGCCCCCCATGGTCAAGGTATCGACACCTGAACTTCCTCGCCTCGATGAGTGACTTGAACGCCGCATCGGTAATACCGAGAGTCTCGGACGTATCGTTGCCGTACATGTTCCAGCTGCGCAGGACCTCGACATGTTGAATGCGCGCAAACTTGAGTGCGATCTCCGAGAAACGTGTCCAAAGCGACTCCGTACAGAAGTCATGCGCACTGTCCGCAGTGCTCACCGTGAGGTCGACATGCAATCCGTGCACATGTAGTGGCGTTGAGAGTACTAGTACCCCGGCAGTATCCACGAGCGACAGGGCGCGCGATTCCAAACTCGACTTAAAATACATCATGATGTCAGGAGCCACGCGTCGTGTGTATTCTTCGACAGATTCTTTCCCGTAAGCACGAAGAACGAGGACTAGCTACCATATGAGCATCGAAAATGGATATAACAGCAGAGTCAGCACATCGAGTACGCACTATTCATGGCCGGTGCGCCCGCAAACGGCACACCGTATCTATGCTCCACCTCGATGTTGGATGCAGTGTCCAGCAGCTCAAAAAGTTCGCGTATGTGCGCGGAGTCCTCGTCCTCCAGGACGTACTTCGCAATACGGCCTGCGCATATACGAGCCGGGGGTCCGCTGAGGGCGAGGTTTGCGAGCAATCGCGGCAAAAATGCGAGACATAGCGCATGGTCGTTCGACATGATGGAACACAGCTCCAGGCCGAATGGCGGAGTGAAGAGGTTTTCGGAGCTGAGCTGTGTGTCAAATGTGACGTTGGCGGCGTTGAGAAGGGCGAGGTGCGGTAATGATGAAAGAAGACGAGCGAGCGCGCGTCCACTAGGAAAGTGCACGCCCATTATGTTGAGTTCGTGGAGCGGCATTGTCGAGCCTGGTAGTGAGCGCGGTAGTGACGGATGAAGTGTGCGCCAAGGACGCTTTTCTGAGGGGAGTGTGTTCACAATCAAGACGATGTCATTTCCGAGCGTGGGTAATATGAATAGAAAAACTAAATGAAGCCACGGAACATCTCTGTTGTCAGGTGCGGCGTTGAGTGTCACCACGATCTCGGCAATCGGCTCGAGGCCAGGAAGGGCTGGTGCGCTTAGCATGTTGCGAAAGTGGTTGACATCGTTTAAGGTGCGTAGGGTGACGTAGCAAAAGAGCTCGCGGCGAGCTTGACGGGCCCAACATCGACAGACAGAAGCGCAAGCGGAGACATGTGCCTTTGCGACCCACTGGAGGGGAAATTCTCCACCGCAGTCGCCTGCATGCCAGAGTATGTGCTCGAAGAGCTCCTCGGGGATCTCTGTGGCCTTTGAAGGTGGCATGATCTGCAGCAAAAGGCATGCAAGGCGTACAAGGAGGTGGTAGAAGAGAACAGTCTTACTGTGGACGACTGTACGGTAGTAACTGAGGACGAATCGCGACGGTGTATGGAGAACAACAAATACTGTACCTGTACGACCAGTCCGGTGCGTCACGCGTCACATAGCCCTCGCCACTCTCGAGAGCGGCGGTCACATCGTCACAGGGAATGCCGCCGCTTTTCACATTTATTTCTGCTAAAATCAAAATTTGAGATTTTCGCGTCTGCGGCGCAAGATGTACGAGAGAAAAGCCTGCGCGCGCCTTACGGGGTGCTAACATTGTCCTGGTATTTGTTGCTGCTCTGTAGGGTCATACCTTGGCCGCCGCCAGATTCGTGACCGGTGTCACAGGTCACCACCAAACTCGCCGCTCCGCCGGTCTGGTGGTCGGCTGTCACGTGTCACACCCGCCGCCGGACTGGTCGTACAGGTACAGTAAGTAGTGTGTAACATGGGGCCCACCAAGCAAATACAATATATTGCTATCATCTGACGGTAGCGCCACGCGCAATCGATAGCCTGTGTAAAAACCACATAGCAGCCGATTGTTTATGATGCGTGACATCAAGATAGATGGTAGACGGTTCTAATGGCGTACGATGTATGGCGTTACTACTGTATGCTCGCCTACAGTATCTGGGTTCGCATCGCAGCGGTTGTGTTCTGGACACTCTGGAGCTCCAAGCGGACTGCATCCGGTCAAGCACATTTGGACAATAGAAGGAAACCACGGGCCTCGCGGGTGAAGATTAACACGGATATTGCTGTGTCCAACATATCTCACGGCTGCAGATACCAGCAAGTTACCCGAAGTGTAATAAGCACAGATACCCAGATACAACTAGGTGGTACATACGCAACATTGATTTACATAATTACACTTCCGTCGATCTAAGTACGCCTACCTTCATGATGACGCCGGCGCACGCTTGCGCAGGACGTGAGGCTCAACGAGCGGACTCATGATGAGGCCCTTCCAGAGCTGACGCCATGAAATTGGGTTGCCCTATCCACAACTCGTCAGCACACCGCCCCAACAGGCATCGAGAAGAAAGCGCTCGCCTTCTCACGGTTCATGACACAAAATGCACCCTTGGATTCGCCGTGCTCAAACTCCTCTATCTCGATTGTGCCGCGGTACATCAACTTCCGGCGATCGAATCCGCCGATGCGTATGCGGTGCCTTGTGATCATATCACCCTTTCTGTCCTCGCCCTCCCCGGTGTCGTCGAGGACCTCCTCGCCTGCGCGCGGCACGAGCTTCGGCGCAAGCACACGGTATTTGGTGCCTTCCTTTTCAAGAGTCTTCACAACGATATCCTTCAGCTCCTCGGGCGGCAGAGATGAGTAGAATCTTGTCCAACCCGGCGTGTAACGCTGCCCGGATGATGTCTGCGAGAAGAGTAACAAGGTCTGTGTGAACTGACTGTAATGTGCCGCCGTAAGCATGATCTGATCGCCGTCACGATCAGTCCGGTTCAACATCAGCGAGGTAAGTGACGGCGGGGTCGCGATGTCAAGGTCACCCGTGCTCCGTAGGCTCTGTGTTAGCGCTTCCGCAACAGACACAGCCCCCCTGCGGGTCAGCTCGTTCTCCCTGAAGAAGAAGAGTCAGCCGCCGTCGAGAGCCGCGATATGAGACGTACCGCATCATCCACTTGTGGTGGAAAATGTCTTGCAGCCTCATCCGCTGCGCAGGATCTGGTGTAAGCATGCCCGTGATGAGACTTAGCGCGTCGCGGTCGAATGTGCTCCACGGCGCATGGTTGAACACAGAGCCCTCCAAGTAGGCAACATACTCGGGCGCGTTATTATCTGCCTGGTCCCATGGCGTGTCTGGCGTTAATGTCAGCGGGCGTCCTTCTCTAAGCGAATGAGCACGCACTGCCGCTAAGCAGCGTATACAGGATGATACCAAGCCCCCAGATGTCGACTGGTTCGGCCTCGTACGGCGCAGTGCCTACAAGCTATTTCATTTTGTTAGCGGAAGGGGCAGCAGAAGACTAGCACAAGATGTACTTCGGGTGCGATGTACGGTTTGCTGCCACAGCGTTCGCTGAGCAGCCTCGTCTTGGGCTTGCTCTGCAGCAAAATTTCAGTGCTTTGCGCCTGCGAAGGAGAGAGAAGGGTGTGTGTGTACCGTCTTTGCATCTGTAATCTTGAATACTGAGCAGAGCCCGAAGTCTGTGATCTTGAGGACTCCGCCACTATCAAGCAGCAGATTTTCGGGTTTGAGATCGCGGTGACAAACACCTCGCTCGTGAATGTACTCCTGTACTATGCGATCAGTAAGATAGAAGGAGTCAGAGGGCGGCATGAAGAAAGAGCAGGGTCATAGTGCGAGAACGTCGTGCATAGCCCGCCATGGTACCAGTTCAAACGAGCGAACAGCTCTCTGGTAGCAGTCCAATGCATACTAGTGTTGTGTTTGCGATATTTATATGGAAGTGTGCATCAGAAGCATGAATAGATGAGATGGATGTGCGATGATGGAGAGAAATGCAAAGTTGCACGCGAAAGAAAATAGAAGGCTTACCACGCCTGCTGCGAGCTGTCGAAAGTAATGCTGGGCGACATCTATACCAACGCCCTTGTCTGGCTCTGTATTCAGCGTGCACGTACCCAGAAGTAGAAGTTGCATGAGATAGCGGTAGAGCGAGGAGAACAGTTAGCGGGGCATTTCAGCAAGAAACATAGTACGCACCTATCTTATCGAACAGGTCGCCACCGCCCGCAATCTCGAGCAACATGTAATATCCTGGATGATACTTCGGCTGTCCGTCGTCATTTCCGTATTCTCGCTCCTCCGTCTTGACTTCATCGTCCTTATCTTCCCTTCGTACTTCGTCTCGCTTCCTTTTCCTGCTTGCGCTCCCCTTCTCTTGCGACGAGGATTTGGGTAATAGTGGCTCAATAATAATGTAGTCGATGAACTCGAGAACATTAGCGTGCTTCAGTGAGAGGTGAACGGCGATTTCTTTATTGAGGGCATCGCGAGCTTTCTTCGGTGTGTCGGGAGCGAGGGATACGACCTTACACGCGGCGGCGGCAGAGGTATTAAAGTTTACGGCACGGTAGACACTATGAATCATTGGCCGTTGAATACATGCACGTATGAGAAGTGCAACAGGACTAAGGATGGGTGACGCACACGCTGAAACCGCCGCCGCCGATCTCGGTAAACAGTTCATAGCCTTTGACCAGGGGGAAAACCTCGCTCTGCTTCTTCTCCGACATTGTTTCGTCGTGCGTACTTCTTTCTGGTGTAACCTGGAATATTGCCTTTGTAGCGGGGCGCGCGGGGGGTGGGTGCGCGGATAAAGGAAGGGCGTGGCGCGTGCACGTGTTGCCGTGTCGTGACGCCATGCACGTGAGCCGCGACTGGCCCTGTCACGCCTGACCAGGAGAGGGGGAGGTCTACGAGCTGATAATTCCGTATATAGGCTGGACTGGACGCTTGCTAGACTCGCCAGCAGGCTGCTCGACAAGCTCTTGTCAGAAATTTCTGAACCACCTTGCAATGTGCGAACCTTGAAAACGTCTTGAACCGCTAATTCAAGGAACTCTAAGATGAGATTACAGCTACTGAAGAGATGATAGACCGCTTCTGCACAAATCTCTCATTCGAAGTTCGCACTGGGTCCAACGTCGCGTTGAGACTCGAATTGCTGCGCGAGATCGCGACGACGGGCCAGCGCCTAGGCACAATGCGTCAACTCTGTTTCTCTCCATCACCGCTGCCATCCCGTTCCCCCCGTCTTGAACAGCCCACCGAAATCAGCCAGCAACCGCAGGGAGAGATGGGAGATGCGGGATGAGGGTTAGAGAGTGGGCAGAAGGGCGGGGAGAGCCGGGGCGGATGAGGCCAGGGGTCGACAAACTCGGCGCGGAGGCACCAGCTGCCTTAAGCTAAAGTACGTCCCCCCTTTTCGATCGCATACCAGACTTTTTATTATTCTAGACTCGTTTCGCGGCCCTGCAGCCAGAGCTCGTCGTCTCGCGTAGCGCGGGAGCTGCCTGCAGATGCTATAGCTGATCACGACGACTACAACGCGCCGCCAAAGCCGAACAGCGCGACGACAGCGCGACGACAGCTTGGACGCGCGTGCACGATTGTGCGCCAGTGTCGGGTGTTGACGGCGTTCAACTGCGCACAACACAACGACGCGTCAAGACTGCCGCGTCTGCCACACTCCTGCACAAACACGCCAGGGGATGCGGCACGGCGATACACAAAAACACCGAGCGCAGCAACTGCCACAAGACGTGCTAGCAACAACACACTCGAATGCTGCTAGGCCCGCACGGCCGTGTGCCACCAATGACGGCCCTCGGGGGCTGCGCAAGGCGGTCAAGGCGAGCTGCGGGGCAGAAGTACTGCAACTGGCCGCCCCAACTCGTCGGAACTCTATGCCCAGCCCACGGCCTATCGCTGCGCATTCAACACGCAGCACTACTACACGCAGGGCGAACAGCAGCCTACGGCGTCACGCAGATAACAAGGAACTCTAAGATGATATTACAGCTACTGAAGAGATGATAGATTGCTTCTGCACAAACCGCCGTGCAAGCGCAACCGCGCTCCACAGGTAACGGCTCTCGGGGGCTGCGCAAAATAGCAGGGAAAGAGGGGCGATCAAACGGCATCCAGCTAGCGTGCACAATCGCATGTCGCCGGCGACGCCCCAGAGGACAGCCGGGCAGAACATATATTGCCAGCAGGCACGGCCACGCGCAGAGGTGGTACAACACGGCGCGAGTAAAAGCACCTTGACAGTGGCGGCTGTCGTTGTTCGCGCACAACCATGTGCCGGCAACGACGGTTCACGGGGACTGCGAAGGTGCGAGTCGCAGGTACAATCATGAATTATGGGAGGCTCAATGCCCCGACCGCCTCATTTAATTTTTTTTTAGTACAAGTGAACTTGCCCGTGGCAGGTATACCTTGTTGAAAATGCAGGCTGCCGTCGTGGGCTACATTGTCGAAAGGAGCAAATGCGCAAGCATTTGCAGTCTATTCGGTGGATATTCATCTACACTATAAATGTCTCAGGTATGAATGTGGGCACAATATAAGATAAATACAAGTAGATGATGTGTGCACAAGGTGCCAGCGAACACAAGCTTGAAACATGATCCAAAAATCTAACACACCTGTGCTGAAACTATTAACTAGGCCGGCTATCAACTATTGATGCACTAGGCAAAGTATATATATATAACTAGTTTAAGGCAGCCAGAATCTAGCCCTCACTAATACCTCTTGGCTTTGCACTCTTACCAGTGAGTTGCCACCTACTCAGGTTTGAGCGCTGACTAGTTTCAGATAGCCAGAATCTAGCCCTCATTATTGCCTTCCCACTTTGTACTCTTACTAGGGCTATGTGGGCCGCAGCACAAGTGCTTGGCAGGTACAATTTCTTCATTCTTGGCCATATTACAAAACTACTTTTTGCCATTTGCTTAACTTTAGCATAAATTTTCTGCTTATAAATCACAATTAGTGTTAATACAATGTTAGTATTTAACAACAACAAATGCTAACTTTATATCTAATAATATATAAAATGTGAATCACAGTCTACAAGTCTTAAAAGCCTGGCTTAAAAGACTTTGGAACTCAAACCACCCAACAACTGTAGAATAGCCTATGTAAATTCTCCACATGTACAGTGTTATGAATCAACCTCTATTTCCACCTATTTTTATCTATTTTCACTCTTTTACCTCTGTCTCTACATCTCCTATTCATATCACTTTCCTCTATCTTCACTTTCCAACCCTTGTACTGATCCAGCCCACACTAGATCTGGTTTAGACTTGGTTTTCATATGAATCAAGCTTTGTCAGGCTCTGACTCAGCTCCTAGGTAGAACCTTGAAGTAGGTTAGTGTGTGCTTAGGTAATACTGTATAGTGCTTATTCTGTAAGATATATAAGGCTGCAGAATAATCTCTGAAATAAGATCTCTAGCCTTGAGCTGGTCTTTACGGGTTTAGAGTTGGGGGGAGCCGAGCCGAGCGAAGCGAGGCGAGGTGACGTTGCTGAGGTGAAACTAGAATGCGAAGGTCCGAGTACTGTGAGGTACTCCAGATGCTTTTGTAGTGACACTCATCAGCACATTCCAGGAAATACTTATACCTTGCGCCATGGGACCCCGGGGAGGGGCAGTACTATGGACACCACGTGCTGAAGCCGAAGCCGTCGGACGGGTGCGTAATGGGCATTATGACTATCCGCGTTGTGATTGGCCGGCCCTCGGCAAAATCGGTGGACGGAGTCATTCTAACCTTGTAAGAGGCTCGGGCATACTATATGGGGATGGTCAGCAGGACCACTTTTGATGCGACTTAAGACCGGTTAGCGTGGTCAAAAGATGACGTAGTTATGACGTCATAGTCACGTGGTGAATCCAGACCGTCGGGAGACCGCCTGCTGATGGCCGTAAGGCGCATCACCAACGTCGGCCCAACATTCGTGGGGCGGGATGATCCGCCATCACTGCCCGCCGCCATCAGGCGCATCAGATGCGCCCGATAGCCGCCGCGACGATAAGCGCCTCGGTCGGCGCTTGTTCTGGGTCACGTGATTTAGACGCTTTCCTACCACGATCACGTGGTCGTACTTCAGACGCCGTCAGGCGCTTACGCATCTATTATACCCTCTAAACAGAGGTCCTTTCTGGGTTAGAGGATGCCTTATGGCATGCACAACTTGGAAATAGGAAAAGGTAATGAAGCTGGATGATAATAACACAGGAACATTAACACTGATATACCCGATTATGCACAGTGGCACAATCGGGCATGAGCTCTTTGCATGCTTGAGACATTTAATCTACATTGGATAGGTACAGTACTTATACCCGATTGTGCACAGTGGCACAATCGGGCATAAACTCTTTCTGCAGGCATTATACCCGATTGTGCACAGTGGCACAATCGGGCATGAACTGTCTGCACACAACTGCACAATCAGGTGTTGATCTAGCTGTTTCAGCAAAACAAACTTGGTGGAGATAATGTAGTGTGTTTATATACACCTATAAATGACAGTAGAGTAATTCCGCTTAGCTGCATACAAGCTGTTGTTGACCAGTAAAGCTTGCTG